CGTATATTTATCCGGGAGGTTTTTCTCCCAAACACTTTCGCTTTCAAAAGGAAGCGTCACTCCAGATTAGCTGAGAATACAGGCATGCCGGCCAGTGAATTTTTGCTCTCTTTTGGCGTCTGTAAATTATATCTGGGATCCTCTTCCTACATTAAAGATGATACGTCAAATAGAAATCTATAAAATCATGCTTCGGTAGAGAAATGATGCTAGCAAAACAGCTGCTTGATGCTAAGTCAGTATAAACCAGCTTGGCGTGTTATACGTTACCTAGCATGATATAAACCACAATTGGCCAATGGTGGCTTATTCAAACGATGACTAACCCTGGCTTAGTGCGATATGTGAGCATTCTGTCTTGTGGGCGTAGGCTGCATTCACGCCTAAATCATAAAGCAGTCTGGGTCTTGACGTAGTTGGTTGTGAGAACCTAGCCCCTCTGATTTATAAACTACAATTGATGGCTTGTGTGAACTGAGTTGCTCGGAGGGAGCAAAAGTCTGGCTGTCCGGAAGGTGTCCTGAATGGTTGATTTCTTCCCTGCTGTTAGGAACTGGCCGCTGCTCTGAAATCCGCCCTCTCCGGCCACTTGGAGGCGGTCATCTTGGGCCTCCTGAAGACGCCGGCGCAGTACGATTCTTCTGAGCTGAAGGGGGCCATGAAGGTCAGTGAAAACCTGGTGCTGGGGGGGGAGGCCCCTCTCCCCTGGCCCCTTCGCGCGTCATGGCGAGCCCTGGTCAAGACCCTTGCCCTCCTCTTCGCTCTCACAGCGAGACCAAGCTCTGTTCTCCCCTCCTAAACATCACTCTCCCTGCCCTGCCTGCAAGGATGCTGGTCTGTAGGTGGGAGTTATGGGAACTGGAGTACCAGGCACGGGCAGGTTCAGGAAAGCGGGTTTGGTTGCTCAGAAAGGGGCCAACAGAGTTTGGGCCCCTGGGATCTCCCTTGGAGCCCCCATCGGAATGGCATCCAGTGCCCTCCTCAACCGGCATCGGTCTCTGCCTGCCCAAAGCCAGGTCAGCAAGGCAGCGGGGGCCGCTCCTTTCCTTCTGCTGAGGCCCCCCAAGTGGGAATCTGCAGTTCTGAGGGGACTTGACCCCCTCGCCAGCCGTGGGTGCAGTGCGGGGGTCTAGTCCTGGCATTTTCTCTATCGAACACCCCCCTCTAGTGTCCATCGCCTGCACTGCAAGGAAGGTTGGGTCGGGGATCGCTGCTTTGCCTCCGGCTTGGTGGACGGGGACGGGCTTCTCTTTCTCATTTAAGAACACGATAAAAAAGAGAGAGAGAAAGAGAGAGAAAAGAAACTGAGTTAAAAGGAATCAAGAAGCGTTGTAACATTATGGTGGGGTGGCGTATTAAAGTAAGTTAGGTCTCTCTAGGATTTCAGAACATCATTGAAGCCGTGCCGTGGCAAACCCCAAAACTAGCATCGTGTGAGTCAGGAATGGTGGCAGCAGCTTTCTGAGTCTTAGGCTGGGGTTTTTCCTGGAGGCGGATGGGTTGAACCGGAGCTTAGTTCAAGCGACGGCCCTGTTTGGCGCTGGCTGAGATTTTCCCAAATGTTCTGCCAGTTATGTGAGTCAGACCGGGATCCACCTAACGGCGATGGCCACAGAGGACTACACTGACTTTTTGCTTGCATTTCAGGGCCTGGGGACCGATGAAGATACGCTCATAGAGATCATCTGCTCGCGGACAAACCAGGAACTGGCCATCATCAACAAAGTCTACAGGGAAAGTAAGTTGGCCAGGATGGATGTGAGAAAAGAGGGGGAGTTGGCTAATTTTCTCCTTTGGATAAGGAGGGTTTTGTTCTAAAATGCTTGAGAGTTAGAGCTGGTCTGCGACGATTATTTTATATGGAAAGAAAAAGAGGCAATTGCAAAGAATTGCCGAGGTGGCGCTTCAGTTCTTCTGCATGTGCCATGTCCAGGCCTTGAATAAGCAGCTGGCATCCCGTGGGTGGAGAACTTAGCAAGCTTCGCTGGGCTTAAAACTCAACCAAGGCCGCCAGGATTACAGGAATACAAAACATGGTTTTCAAATCAAGTCCTTGGCCAAAAAATCTGGAGCAGGCTTGAAAGCAAGAAAGAATATGTTGTGTTATATACACATTTTGGAGTTCACAGAAAAAAGCCTTCGCAAACCTTCCTCAGCCTCACCAAGTTTTCAGGGACCTCCAGGCAGAACTTTAGCTACAGGTTGTCCTCATTTAGCGACCATTCGCAGTTACGACGGTGAAGAAAAAGTCACTTTGCGACCAATCCTTGCATTTATGACCTTGGCAGGTCTGCAAAGCCAAGGAAAGCTGAAGTCAGATTGTAGACACCATCGTGGTTTCGCATAGTGACCATTTCGCTCAATGACTGAGTGGCCAATCCCAATCATGGTCGCTAAATGAGAACAACCTGTAGCCAGGAACCTGAGTGGCTCCTGTTACTGTGACTGCCCCAACTTATCCTTCCATCTGCACTGAATTTCAGGACTGCAATCAGATGTGGTCAAAATTCAGTGCTTGACTGTCAGTCTGAACCCAGAGGTAGATTTTCCATCTTTCTGCTTCACTCTGCTTCATTTTCAGTGTATAAGACGGAACTGGAAAAAGACATCATCTCTGACACGTCCGGGGATTTCCGCAAGCTGATGGTCGCTCTGGCCAAGGTAGGAATCTCCCAGCTGGCCTTTCTGTTGCTTTATTCTTGGTTCCGGTGCGGATGGTGGCCGCTGGGCGCATTTGAATAGGATTGCAAGCGCTTCCGACGTTATGCCAGGCCCGCTCTCTCACAGGCTGGCATTAAGGAGGCGCGTCACGTCCCGCGCCAGGACTTTTAGGAATTGCTGTCTCCGGTTGAGGAAATCAGTAACTGCATTTGACCGGCATTCACTTCATAGCTAGAGAAAGAAGAATACCGTACGTTATAAAGGGCTCAACCTCAGAGAACCCCCATGCACGCAACCCACAATGGGGTATCAGGAGCCGGCCGTTCCGATTTACAGGAGCCGTTCCGTCTGGGTCACCCGATTGCTCTGCTTCCCATCTCCACGTTGGTCTGATTTGGATCTCGGAATCCGACTGTGATTCCTGCAGGGGTTGGACTTGCTGCCCTCGATGGCCCTTCGCTATCTAGGACTCCACGACTGATAATCTCTCTGTGATGCCAGGGGTTTATTTTGGGGGTTTCTGTTCTCTGTTTAAAGGGGAGGAGAAACGAAGACTGCTCCGTGGTGGATTACGAGCTGATTGACCAAGATGCCCGGGTAAGCACTTCTGACCGTCTGGGACCAGAAGCACCGCTGGAAACGATGTCTTCCTGTATCTCTTCTTTATAGCCACCCGTTTCACACACTCCGGGCATCTTCCAAGATTAAAACAACCCCCCCAAACATAACATTGTCCCATTTTCCTTCTGCATCCATGGTTTCTATCCCTTCATCTGGCCATGCACGTTTTCCTTTATCGCTGCGCTTGCTTTTCTGCTTTCCCAGGGTAATTTCATCCCAGTTCTTCCACCTGATTATACATACATACATACATACATACATATTTATTTTAAAAGAAAGTCTATCTGGAAATACCTCCATATCTTTCTGCGGGTTTCTCCCAGGAGAGTATGGTCCAGGGTGTCACTTTGGCTAGAAATTCCTCCCAATAATGCCCTTCTACGACCCCACCGGCATTTGCTGTTTGTTCTGCATTTGCAGGGGTGGGTGGGCGGCACTGTTTCCCCTTCCCCACTGTAAAGCTGCTTGTTGTGATAACAGCACGGCGAAGCGGGCATCTCACTTCCATTGAACGTCTCCCCTGCCGCTGCTTTAAATGCCCCCAAGGCTTTGAGGGTGACTTGGATGGTGGGCCGTGGGTGGGGGGGA